TCTGTAATAAACTCTCTTTTCCAAAGATGAGTGATTTCTCGATCAGATAGATTTATTTTTTATTACTTTGTTGTTTCAGCAACATTAAATTTAAAAACTGTACTTTTGAGTTAAAATATATATTTACAATTTTAATAAAAGACAAATTAAAAAGGCATGAACATTTTTTTTTTTGTATCGAAAAAATATCAAACCGTGACACCAAAGTATCGAACCGAACCGTGAATTTTGTGTATTGTTGCACCCCTAGTAATTTAGTGTATTTTTTAATGAACCTCTAGTGGAAATTTCAGGAAATGTAGTTTTGGATACTGCTTCACCCAGAAGTTGCCATTTGAACATTAGAAGTGATAGGAACGATGAAATGACCCAGATTTATCCGTTTGCCTTAATGAAAACAGACCCCGGAGACTCTTTGAACACTGTTGGAACCATTAGAGGCCTAAAAATACTTCAGTGAGTGGATATATCGGAGACCTTTTTCCACTGAGTCAATAAATTGACATTTAGAAAGTTGTGGGTGAGAGTTCTGATGCAGACTAAGTACAAGCTGCTGTTGCGTGAACTAAGAAGTCCCTTCAGTCCCACAGTATAAGCAGATGTTTAGTGTTCACTGTTATGTGTCAGCATGAACTTTTGAAGTTCGGCCTGCGTGATGATGGATTGCCAGTGCCGGTTGGTCTCTTATTTCCTTACACATGGTGCAAAGCACACAGGCAGTCTTAACCACTTCATTAACTTTTAATTTCCCATTTGAGTAAGTCAGAAAATAGAATGTAATAACTTTTGTCTGATGTTTGTTGACTGCCATGAAGAAAAAAACGAGATCACAGCAGCCTCTGTGCAATAATCCTCATTAGAGCAAATATACAGAGACAATATTGGCAATTTGGTACTTTATGTTGGGTGCATTCTTTAATTTATAACTTTTCATACACTACTTAATTCTTTGGCATACATTATCCTGTTACAGTGGTTTTGCTGCTGTTTTCGAGACTTCAGTACCAGCACCAGGTTGGTTGTCAACAGCTAAAAGTGCTCATATTGCAGCTCTGAAAACTAATTTCTCAACTCACCCCTCACCTATCATCCCTCTCATTTTCTTTCTCTATCTAGAGCTAATAGATGGGACCCCCACCTTGAAAATCAACCATGGCTCGGGCACAGTGGTGCTACAGTTGCCAGGCAACGTGAACGTGGCAGACAGGCGGTGGCATCGGCTGGATGTCCGCAGCAACAGCAAGGTGGGTCGCTCTCTCTATATAACAGCAGCCATCATCTATTTAGCAAATAAGTTCAAATAAATTCACATCGCACTGAAAATTTTTTTTTTTTTTATCCAGTTTTAATAAGATTGTTTTTGTTTTACTTTTAAAGGCACATCTAATATTTTCATACACATGAAACACATGAATTTGTAAATATGGATTTTTCTTTCTTGAATATAATTTGTTCTTACCTTTACCATACATTGCATTCACCTTCTGCAATCATGTATAAATGTCACTGTCTTTGCATTAGGGGATATGATGCAGCAAGTAAGCTGCTCCTTTAGTTGTGCAGATTGTGAGTAACAAGCCTACAGGTCATTTATTTAGGTAACATTAGCACCAGAGTGATTCTGGGTCTTTGGCCCACCTGCTAAGTGATGAATCCACCCAATGTTGGTTGAAATATACTGGCTGCTTTACTTTGTATATACATATAAATGCATACAATGTGTTATTAATCTTGGATAAAACTACAGTAGTGCGATCATTTTTTAAAACTTACCAGAAATGTATTGCACAAGATAGTTAGCAGTTTTACAGGAACACCCTGCTAGTCTGCTCAGCTGTGATTGTAAAGCTCGGAGCTGAAGTCGCTCTTCTGGTTAAAATATGTGATGCACACTTTTGAAATTACCCCAAACATCAGATAACAGCCCAGAATAGTCCACTAATATTCCTTCAAAATGTCCTTGTATTTAGAAGATTTAAATTGGCAATTTCTTGGGAATACTTGTTAATTTCTTAACATATAAATGCACATGACAAGTGCCATTCAAGTTGGAATTATTGTTAATTGTTAAAGACTACATGGCCAGCAGGAAGGGGATGGTCATAGCTGGTCCATTGATTGTGCCAGAGTCCATAAGAAGGTGACTCTCTGGCTCCCCTGAATAGTAACCTCAGTAAACACTTATACATTTATGGTCTCATTTGCTAGTTTAAAGTGTTATTTTATAGAGCATTAGTGCTCATTGGGTAAATTATGCCCCCATTTAAAATAAAATACATAACAAAAGAGTGTCCCCATATCTCATCAACAGGGAGAAACCAAAAATATTGACACTGAAGCTCCAACATGGGAGTTCACTGTTTTCTAGGCCATGTCTCTTTTTTATTTACAGTCTTTGGGCCAAAACATTAACACCATGTCTTTTGAACTGAATGTTCTTTCTGGTATATTTGATAAAGCTGCTGATTTGTATGTATGATCTCAGAGATGAGGTTATATATTTAGCATATGTCCTAGACTTTAAGCATCGCCCATTCGGCTCCACGCAAACCTTTTTAATATCGTTATTTTCCAGGAATCTAAATGGGGAAGACGTCGTGGTTAAGTATTATAAAACTGTCTGCAGTGTAGAGTACAAAGGAGGATAATTGCAGACAGATGATTGCAATAGCCCTCTTGCAACATCTTCTGCCCCAAATAATTGCAAGTTAATTAAATTAGTGTGAAATTGGACTAAATCTTTATCTTGTTAAGATTATTCTGCATATTATTCGCCTATCGTATATCAATGACAGTTCCTGCTTCTATTATTAGATGCTGTGACATAATGAAAGCTCCAAGCTGCAGTGCCACTGTAGGCTTCGGGCACCTAAAAGCAGCTGGACCGGCTGCATCTCAGCCTTCTTTCATCCCAGCATCCCACTTCAGCACCACTTTAGAGCACTTCAGTAAAAGCACAGGACTGAGTCACATTTTTTTACACACACAGCCAGTGTGAAGCCTTTTCATATTCAGCTCCATCAGAGGCCTCTCAAAAACCTAAAATTGAATAATTACACTTATGTCACACTTAATTTATAAATGGCTTAATTTAGCTCATTACTCAAAGACCTGCAATGTTCCCCAGACCGCCCTTCAAAAACACACTTATTACGCTGCCTTGAGTTCAGGTTATAAGAAAGGAGACGCCGTCAGAGAGCGTTCACTCTCGCTGCTCACTAGTGTGACTAAAATTTGTGTCTCATTTATGGCTTTTGCCAAACGATTCAATTCGGTAGAAAACACCAATTTTGTTCACTGTTTTTTTTTTTTATTTCTTTTGAATGAAAGGAAAACCGCTTCAGGCTCAGCTCCCCATCACCACACGTACAAACACAGGGAAATCTGTTCGATATTGAGAATGAGAGCAGCCAAACGAAAGCATGCAGGGAGACTTTCGGGTAATGCGATAGCATTATTCGGAATTGTGTGAACACTAGGACGCATTCAGACTTTTGTTATTACAGCGAGGATTATTCTGCACCACAATGGTATTATTCTAAATCACATGTGAATCTATTCATTTGTCCTGAATAGTCAGCTGCGGCTTATCCAACCTGGTTGCGTGACAGCATGAGATCCAAAGCAGGAAGGACAGAGCTGTTGTTGGGAGATTTACTCTGTGATTCAGCAGCCAAGAACCGAGAGCAGCGTTTTTGTTTTTTTGTTTTCTTCAAATTAAGTAACATTTGTGAAAACGATAGATCCAAAGAACCATTGTCTCGCTGTCCTTCATTAGGAATCACATTGATAAATAAGTAAACCACGGTCTGCTAACAGGAACATGGATTAAACTAAAATAAATTATTTACATAAAATCGGCAGCGTTAGCTGTTGATACAGAGTTTGTATTAATGTTTAATCATGCAAACGCGTACTGTTTACGTTACTTTATCGCTGCATGTAAATCCTGTTTTACAGTGAAATTATTATTATTATTAATGATGTAAATAAATGGTAAATGGTCTGTATTTGTATAGCGCTTTACTTGGTCCTAAGGACCCCAAAGTGCTTTACACTTTACACAATCATCCACCCATTCACACACTGGTGATGGCAGCTACATTGTAGCCACAGTAGGCAACGGGTGAAGTGTCTTGCCCAAGGACACAACGACCGAGACTGTCGGAGCCGGGGCTCAAACCGGCAACCTTCCGATTACAAGACGAACGCCCAACTCTTGAGCCACGATCGCCCTAAATATGAGAAAAACGTGCCAAAATCATACTCGAATGAATGATGTAGGCATCATATTTGGAATCTGTTTTCACACAGAGGTGATATCAGCAGGTGTAGAAACAAAACAACACATAAATGCTGCTTTATGCTGCCTTTATGCTGTCTTCTTTTAACTGATTTATAACTTTCAATATCTGAAAGAAAATCGAAATACTCCTGTTTGGTATTACCAAGCATAATGACATTTTTTCTGTGTGTTCCTGACGTATGTCTGAAAGCTTTTATCGTGGATGTGTGAAAAGTAAGTTAAAGGTGTTGTGTTTTAGCGCGCTGATGACTGAAACTGCGCTGGCACATACAGGCTTTTTATCCAGACGAGTAATTCTAATGATTTCAGCGCCAACTTTTTTGGAAGGTTAAGGCAATGGACCAGATTTCCCCCCAAAAATTATTTTCAGCCCTCTTACATGTTTTATTCTTTTTTTTCCTGTGATGCGAGCCATCGGGTAGCGTGTGTGTTTGGGTTAAAACTTTACTAATTACTACAGGAAGGAGGAGGCATGTTTACTGAGAGGTAAACAGCAGATGGAATAAAGAGTCTAGTTAACTGGAATAAGCTGCTGTGGCTTCTTCTTAATCGCATTCTTGTTAAGGCAAGTCCACATGTTTAAGCTGTCATGCAGCAGAGCAGTGCAGCACGCACTAATGAAAGAAATATGAGTCAGATGCCGTTCTCACCATGGTAATAATGCTGAAAGTACACTCGTTACAGTTCAGAGAAATGACTTATTTGTGATTTATTGAAGCATGATTTGAGTACAACGTGCCCTGGTTTGTTTTCTCTGCAGGAAGTACGTTTCACCCTGGACCGATGTTCAGGGGCAGCGGTGAAGGAGCTGGTGGGTAGCTGGTTGACCTCTCAAGACCACTCTTCCTGTGAAGTGATGGGTGTTACGCCTAACACCGACAGGTAAAAAGAAGCAGCTGAACAGATGCGTGCACACCACGGACTTTCTCACTGCCTCAGACTTGGTTTGCTTGTAATTTGGCCCATGTGTTAGCAGGCTCCCATTTTTCAACAAGACTGCAAAAAAGAGAAAGTGTGTCCTTCAAAGTTCAATTCTGCTGCTTTCATGGTGGCTTGATTCTACTTCTGAATGCTCCCCAGCAGTGGTTAGTTGTTAGTGCTGTGTGACCGTCTGCACCGAAGAAAAAGATAAATCGCAAACATTTGCAGTTTCTTTAATACAAAATAAGTCTTGTCACTTTGCATGGTGAAAGTTACAGCTGCGTTGGTCATTTATTTTATAATGAGAACTAAATATTACGCTGAGACTGTATGCTCTCTCTTTGCCATAAAACCTCAGAATTATTTTTGCAAAAGTAACAACGAATTTAACCCAAAAAGAAATTATACACCAGATGTAATAGAAACTGTTTGTATTCTTTTATGAGTTTATATACAGAACATGTGATTAAAAAAAACAAAAACATATTTGTTTCATGATAAAAACTATGAAAATCTACCAGTAAGCTTTATTGTAATTGTAAAAATGATAATTATTCAAAACTATTTGGCTCAGTGTCACAAAATCTGCAACATTTACATTTAAGAAAATGCGACATCCCATTGTTTATATAATAATAACAATAATAATAATTATTATTGTTTATATGAGAAGTCTAATGTCAGATGTCCAGTTTAATGTCAGACAATATTTTCACAGACCGGCCTTTAAGGTGTAAATATAACAAAGGGATAAATATAACAAAATAAAATGATCCGACCAAGACAAAAATTGTGGTATTTTGTAAATATAATAATAAACGTGAATTCACTTTATTAGCAGCGTCCTCCTGAAATGCGCCAACAACACTGAGAGTAACATCCTCCTCTCTGCCCCTTAATGCTCAGTGGTTGCTATGGTAACATGTAAATATTTCTTTAAAAATAAGAGACACAGCTCTCATGGCCCGAGGGTTGGGGACCGCTGATTTAAGGAACTGCAAATGTAAAGAACTGTCCAAAGTTTTGCAGTTAGCGTTGCAGCCCCATAGACCATCGAAGTATGGTGTTAATACTAACAACTAATTTTACTGTTTGGCTGTAATTGTAGTGCTCTTATCAGCGTTCTATGTTTACCAAATGATTGTTGCCATTCCCCTGCGTCTGCCTGCTGTTTGGACGTGGTTGTAGCCCCAAACACATTAACTTAGATTAATTAAATTAAATTAAAAATACTCTTGCTGCTGGACACCGAACGTCTATCCTCTGAGATTCTTCCACAGACTGTGGATACTCGTGATAACATCGACAATCAGAGATGGAGAGTAAGACTGTTGTTGTTTTAGAGCAGCAACTTCTCTTTCATAAAGAGACAGAAAAAGAAAATAAGGGGACATCCAGAAAAGTAAAAAGAAGATTTACGCCACATTTTAATTAGGCGACTTAGCAGAATGAACCAGCAGATTTTGTTTGCTGATAACGTGTTCGATTTCCTATTTTGAACTGCAAACGGCTGATTAAAATAAGACTGTTAAGTGCTAAAGCAGCAGCTTCAAAACTCTTTCTCATTGCTGCAAAGTCTTATAGTTTTCTGTTTCATCCTTTCTTGCTTTTTGAATGCTTCTGTCCTGCTGTGTGTTTTAGACACCTGAACATGAGTCAGGTGCTTCAGCTCGGCGGTGTGAACGAGGACATCCCATACATCTACCCCCAGCTTCAGCACAAACACTTCACCGGCTGCGTCCGTAACCTCATCGTGGACAGCAAGGTAACACACTTTATAATACAATGGCACGCACGCACACCCATACATAACCACACAACCATTAGCACACCAGTATGCAAGCAAAGTTAAACTCACACCTGCACTCCAGCTGATAAATGGATTAATAACAGGCTTCGACATTCACAGTCCCCTTGTGCCATGTGAGAGATGGGTTTTTTATGCTTTTAACTGTAATCTCAAAGAAATTTCAAATGTTACACACATGCACTTTAAGAGTGAAATGGAATATGAACCTTTCCCCTCCTGCCCAGTCTGACATCAAATCGAGACTTTCAAGTAACCAGCTCTGCCGGAGTTAAAAAGTCAAGGACTCTATACTCAGCCATGACAATCTGAGCCCAGCCCCAACAAAATCCAAATCATTTCTGTATGAACACAGGCTTCTCTTATGATAGCCTCGTGTGAACCTGCAGTCTTCTGAAGCCTGAAATTTTGGTTAAAATTGTACGTTTTGCTACAATTTTTGGTTATGAATCAAATAAAGCTGTGACTGCTAAGTTTTGCCCCTGTCCATCTAAAACTGCTGAGCCTCGGCTGCTTTAACTGGTATTTAGACATAAATGTCAGGCTTTTCAGACTGGATTGCCAAAGATTGTGTGAGATGTGGGTTCTCTGATAATCAAAACTCACATGGCAGAAAATTAGAAATTAAATGGGTCTGCTTGGAAGATGTTTGACTTTCAGCTCCAAATAGGTTTTGTGTTACCTATTACACTTTTTTAAATTACCTTTGTTACTCGCTGCTTGTGATAATGTCACATTCTCACTCTGCATCTGTTCAATAGTGGCATTTATGATTTAGACTTCGTTTAAACTGTCCTCCACAGTTAGATGTGTTTTCAATCTGGTGGAAAAGTATAATCAGAATTTTGGGCAATATTGTCTTAATATCTGAAGGTAACGGGGGGCATAGGATACTTTGGTAGGGTGGTGCAGACAAGGATTGTGGAGTGTGTCTCACATGTGCAACTGTTGGGCTGTGCTAGTCCATCTCTACTATGGCATGTCTTCAGGTGCTGAAGGGTGCCCCAGGTTGTAGATGGCTTGTTTGCCTTGGGAGGCCTGTGTGGTATTCACAGGGTGAGCAACTAAACTCTTAACACCACCCGACATCTTCGTTGCGCCCTGCTGGAAGGAGGTGGGCCAAACTGATCCAGAGATGAGCACAACTAGAGGCATCTGTTAATAACCACCACAGTTAAACTTCCTCTGTAAAGATTTTGTTGGTAGCAGACCTTTCATCATCTTTCCTGGACGTGAAGCTAACTTGGATTGAGTTTGGGGTTAATGGAGGTAAAGCTGTAAAGAAAAGGTGTGCACTTGATTTCTAACAGTGTATAAAAGATTTACATAGGCAACTTGTTCTCTCATATTGGTTTCTGGGGTATGCAATAATGTGAGGGTGTCGGCTGCCACCTTGTTAGTTGTCAGATGTTACCATATTTAGATAATACGGTAGCTATGGTTGCTGGCTAATGTAGCTAGTGCGGCTAGCTAATGTAGCTAGTGCGGCTAGCTAATGTCGCTAGTGCGGCTAGCTAATGTCGCTAGTGCGGCTAGATAATGTCGCTAGTGCGGTTAGCTAATGTCGCTAGTGCGGCTAGCTAATGTCGCTAGTGCAGCTAGCTAATGTCGCTAGTGCAGCTAGCTAATGTCGCTAGTGCGGTTAGCAAGCTGCATCACACAGACAGACAGCCATGTTACTTGTCAGATAGCTCTCAGTCAGTTCAGTGACTCCAGTAAGGAGAAGCAATCCCTAAAAAATAGACATTCACCTATAGCAGCCAATCAAATCATAGCTTTGTAACAGGGAAGTCTGCAGGTAGACTCACTTTTGAAGGCAGTTTCAATGCATTAGGGGAACTTTGGCGTGTGCGTCAGAGGTTACCGTTTGGACAAAAGGAAAGACTCACTTTAAAAACAAAGGAAATAGTAATTTCTTTATCCCAATTATCCTTTTTATCTTTTTTCATGATTGCTGGAAGCCAACAGTGTTTTTAAAATCAAATAAAATCACCCAGTTCTGTTTTGACTGCATGTTGCAATCTGCTGCAGCTACTAATTTAAATTAAGTGAGAGAAGTGAACAACAGGTAGTAGCGTATTTTTGCTGGACCATTTCAGGGAAGTTATTCAAATGTTGGAGTGGAAGATTTTGACTAAATGCACAGTTTTATTAAAAAAACATCACAGGAAATTTATGTGGACAGGCCTGATATGCTTTTAAATGCAGATGAGCAAAATAGTTTTTCTCCTGCTGATTCCGCTTCCATCGCATTATGCCAGCACTGCGTATGATGGATTTCTTTCTTAGAGTTAAAGCACATAAGCCCCACATAATGGAAGTGGAGGAGATCATATTTCTAGGTATAAAATGGAGATTGGTTTGTACAGTTTAAGATTATATTCTAAATAATTTATGAAATTATATTTCACTAGTCATAACAGAGTATATTATATGGCTCAGTGTTGAGAGAATTACTGTGAGACTGCTGTTCATCATTGTCTGGATTATGGTCACTCTCTAATGTGCATGTGTGTGTGAATAGAAGTAGTGAGGATAGGGAAAACACTGAAAGCTGGCTCAGAGTGGGTTACTTGTGGCTTGCCTTCAGCCGGGTACACATGAGCATTTAATGCGCTAGGACCGCTGAGTTAATTGATTAGCCCGACCAGCCAACCAATAAAAACAGTCAATAATGTGAGCCTAATATCATGAGCCAACTACTTTAGTCCAATACATGTTCCGTTTAATGAGGTCAGTGTCAGCACAAACGGGTTCATTACCAGGCATGTGTCGCTCTCTCGGTGTCCTGCAGACACATCCTCTGTTTCCAGCATTAAATAGTAATTGGTTGTTTGCTAAAAAAGTTTTAAACACATAAAACTGTGCAACTGACAAGTTTCCATCATTTAGTGTGTGTGTGTGTGTGTGTTTCCTTCTTTTTTCCTGTGGTCCACTCATGTTCTAAGGACTCCTCTTCAGTCTACTAATAAGGCATTTCTGAGTATGCAGGTGTGTCTGTGTGTTGCTAAGTAATAACCCAGGTGTTTTGTGGGAAAGAGCAGTTATTATTCTGCACACTTATGTTTAAATGAAAAACAACCTTGGCCAGTCAATTCAAACATCCTTTCGTTCAGCACTCAGGTTAGGTGTGAGGAGCCACGAGGCCTCTAGGGGTGGCTTTTAGAACTGTTGTCTCTATAAACACAATTTATTTGTATCCATTCAGTAGACAATTTGAAAGCTCTGTTAAGATGTTGAATCTCAAGAGCGGCGATATTAAAGGATATAAGTCTGTCTTTCTGCAGTGCTGAAGGCTTGGAGTTAGTGTGGTTTACCTTAGCCAGGGATGCAGCAGGAGGCTGCACAAACACTGTGTACTAATGAGAGGAATCTGCATGATGCGTGTGGGCGGACATGAGTATAATAAATCCCCAAAAGCATGCAACAGTAGGCGTGCTGATGATTAATAATGTTGATGGACATGTTCCGGCATTGTATGATTTTTATTTATTTTTTCCTTTTCCTCTGGTGTTGTTGTTCCTTTCCTTTCAAAATGTTCAAGTGTGTCATGTTTGTTGCTATAGCAACATCATCTGTTTCTGCATGGGTTTGAGGGCCTGTCGATGAGGTAAAAAGGTAGCTGATGTTGATATGTCCGCCTCACCGGCAGTACGGGTGGGAATCACAGACTAGCTCACTGCCGCGGCACGATGTGAACAAAAGCAACGTTATCATGACTTTTAGTTTTTATGTACGAATCCAAAACTAACAACACAAACAGTTCGAGCCCCGGCTTGGACAGTCTCGGCCGTTGTGTCCTTGGGCAACTTCACCCGTTGCCTACTGGTGGTGGTCAGAGGGCCCGGTGGCGCCAGTGTCCAGCAGCCTCGCCCCAGGGTGGCTGTGGCTACAATGTAACTGCCATCACCAGTTTGTGAATGGGTGGATGACAGGTTGTGTAAAGCGCTTTGGGGTCTAGAAAAGCGATATACAAATAGAGGCCATTTACCATTATTGTTTCCGTTTTGGATGCAGTTGCATTTCACCATTGTGCTCTTGCCCATTCATTAAATAAAATTAAAAGTAATGTCTGTACCTCCAGTCCTCAAAGCTGTAAGATCACGTCACCATTTTCCTCTGTATCCACCTATAAGGCTAATTGCTCATACAGAAAAGCAGAGCTGCATGTTTGAGTCTTTGTACACAGGCGGAGTGAAGACAGCATCACGGACTATATACTAATTGTCCTTTATAAGTTATTTATTTAGAGAAATTAATAATGTATTTACAGAAATAACACTTTATTCCAAAAACACCTGCCTGCAACCTGGAATTGGCTAATCAGTCGATCCTTAATTGGAACAAAATCACAGTTGACCATGGTCAGCTAGCATTAGCTTTGCCAAAGCTACACAGTTATTTCTACTAAAGAGTAGCAGCTCATCCATAACATCATTCTTTCAGTTGTTCTCTAAAATCCTGTCTGGATTTAGTTTGAGTAGATGGGTTGATGTGTTCTTCAGTATTATGGGAAAATCTAAAGATATGTATGTTAGCTACAGCCTGCATGTTTGTCTTCTGCTGCTTCTTCACACAGTAATGTGCACACAGGTTTAGTTCATATGTATAAAACTCTCAGATCACATTGCTAACAGACACAGTGTTACTGAAAGTAAGGAGCTTCTTATGAAATCAAGCTAGTAAACCAGTAGAGAGATTTTGGGAGGCAGAAAAAACTATCCAGAAGCTGCTGAATTTTTCCACAGAATCTGAAAGGCCGCTGAGCAAAGCAAACATGGTTCATTCTCATGCCTTGAACATTTTTTATGATAGTTTCAGTATGAAAATCTACTAGTACAAAGGTACAAATTTAAGTAAGTTTTTGGCTTGAAAAATTCTCATCGCAGTTCCCATTGACTAAATAAACACTGCATACCATGTTGTCTTAATTAAAACCAGTGAAGTGTGGTGCATGGCTGCATGTAACCTAAACAGGAAAAGCTGAATGAATTAAAAGGAGAAATGAGACTGGAGTAAGCCCGGTGGTAATAGTGAGGTTGTGTCCACGTAAAAAGACAGGAAATGATTTTCCTTTTAATATGCTTCTATTCTGGAGCTACCTCTCTGCCTCTCTTACCCCTGCTGTCACTCACCTTTGTCCGTTTTCCACTTTCTCCATCCTCGTCTTATCATTATTCTGCTTTCCTTTTTCCCTTCAGCTCTCAGAGTAGCATTACAGCTTTAAGGTTTTCTGTGCTTTTGACATATCTGTCACTACATTGTTAAGTAGGGAGGTGTGCAGTTACAGCACACTGACTAATAGCTTTTTGAGTGCTACTAGCTACGATTCGAAACTTGATTTACAGAGTTTCTCAGCAAAAAGTTTACCTCATAACAGAAGTTACAGAACACTGTGGACAGATGATGTTTTCTCATTTCACCAAAATATATATTCAGCAAAAAGTTCTGTATGTTTTTAGGAAATCATAGTCTAGATGTTGCCTTGTATTGCATTTTGCTTTTGGCAGGCATGGACACTGGGAGCAATTTAAAGTAGCTAAAATACCTTCTTTCAGACAAGTGAGGGAGTGAAATAAAACCAACAACTACATGTGGATGGCGAACTAATAAGAAAAAAGAATTTTTAACGATATTAAATGACATCGCCTTACCACATTATGTAAATTTGAATTCAATATTACTTATAAAGACTCATTTCATGCTGTTTAGGTGACATTATGCTTGACTTCTGCGTGTCATTGTCAGTCATCTTCATTATCACTTCCTCCAAGCTGTGACTGAAGTGCTTCAAGGTTCAGACGTTTTGGGTGAAACTTCACTCTTCACTCACTTCACGCTTTTTCATTTAGAATGTATTTCCACTTTGTGTAGGTTGAGACATTTTTATACCCAACACCTGAAATTAGTCGTGGCAAATATGGCATCCTGCTGCGTCTCTTTGTGGGGGTGTGACACTGTTCTCAGCTCAAGCCACAATTTGTTATTTGTGAAGAAGCAGCTGTATTTGTGAGTTGAGCTCATGCATCAGCCAGTGCTGTGCTCAGAGACACACGCGTGCACACATACTGGAGTGACGCCGATGCTCAGTCGAATCAATGGCAGACGCGCCAATATGTGTTTTAGAATGCAGATGTTTGTCTTTCAGTCCTTGGCGACCAACATGATCAGCTCAACCCCAGAAAATTGTGGAGCTGTAGCATTTAAAGGTCAACAACCAATAAGAGCCCTCTTTGCTGGAGGTCAGAACCAATCAGCAGCTCCCTGATGGCATGATTCATTTCACTTTACAATCGTTCACATTCCTGCATCCTCTCTGCGGCACAAACAACTCATAAAGTTTGGTCCTGGCAGGGAGGTGACTGAACATATAAATGTATTTTATGACATCCAATTGTAAGCGTTCAAGGTTCCTCTGTCCTCTCAGCTCTCGCTGTAGGTGGTCATGCTGTTTCTCTGGTCAAGAGTTTGGTTTCATCATTGTGACGAGAGACTCTGAGAAACAGAGAGATGACAATTTAAAGAAAGAGACTGTCTGAGTTTATGTCTTTCAGCGTATTTTAGAGTTTTCTTCCTCAGTCGATTCATTTTCATTCTCTTTGACTTTACTTAACTCTGTCGAATATTCCGACTCTCCCTCTGGCTGCTGACCCCCTTATACGTCTGTCCCGTGTCTTCCCTAATCCCCTTTTCTCTGCTGTCACTTTGCCTTTTTGCCTTCTGTATTTAAGCTACTTACTTCTTGGCACCTCTCCCTATTGCCTTCCTCGCATCTCAACTTTTCCACTTTTTCTTTCCTCCTATTTCCGCCTCGTTTTCCTTCTTGCTTTCTTGTTGTTTTTCTTTGTTTATATTTTTCCAATTTCACTTCATATCCAGTTTCACCTTTCTTCAACTTTACCTTTCCCCTCATCTTCTCTAAATTTACTAATCCTCCCATCTCCTCCCCTGTATCTCTTCCATTCAGCTGTATGATTTGGGCTCCCCGGCCGACTCGCAGTCCAGCTCTCCAGGCTGCCTGACCACAGATAGCAGCTGTGTCAACATGGGCTATCCATCCTGTGGCCGCCGGGGTCGCTGTCACGGTGAGTGGGGCTCCTTCAGCTGCCAGTGTATACCCGGATACACAGGACACCAGTGTGAAGAAGGTATGCCAATTTATTTTATTATTTTTGTTTTACATTATGCAATAAAATGTTGTTCTTGACTGTAACATTAAAAAGAAAAAATCATCCATGTGGCCTCAAAGATCATTTACTCCTTGTTGACTATGTTTGCGCTATCACAAAATCGCTCTAAATGCTAAAATGCACACGTCCTTCCCAGCTTATCACTTCAGCTGTGTCACATGGTACAGGCTGTTTCCTCCAACAGCTTCAAGGGATCCTGAGCAGCTTTATTTTCAGTGTAATGTTTTGGTCTTCAAGGCTATAGTAAACATGGCTGTCAGAAAATTTACGGTTAACATTCCCATAAAGATTGTTGACGAGAACCCCCTGTTTTGTTACCGGGTAACCTAGACTGTAAAACCGAATAAAAGCTGTGTGGCTCCAAGGCCACAACAACTACGGCAAAGGACGCAGCAGCTGAGGGTGAACCAAAGCATTTCATAAATTAGCCGAGGATGCAACTACAAACATGGAGCACTTCAGTTAAGCTGTTTTCACACAAGCAGCCCTGAACTTTTCCAAGAGCTATCCAGGGGAGCTGGATGTGTGAACAAATAAATCCAGGCTTGACGTTTTCTTTAACCTGCCAACTCCCGTATACAAAGTTTGTGTTTATGTAAGTTTGTGCCTGTGTGTGTGCTGTGCAGTTAACACTAACAAGTGGGTATGATGTGTGGCACCTACCACCTGCTGCATCCCGGCGGCGCCACGACACATCACATTTTTAGATGTCTGAGCACATGTGAAAGCGGACTATTTCCTGCTGCGTGTTGCATGTGTGAAAGCGCAACTGTGGAAAATAAGCCAACTTTGTTCACTTGGAAATGCCAGAAGTTAATGTTTTAAAATAGTTCAGTTCATTTCAGTTTTATTTGCATAGCACCAAATCACAACAGTCTCCTGAAGATACTTTATTGTAAGGTAAAGAGCCTAAAATAGCAGAGAGAGACTCAAACTATCAAGTGACCGCCTTTTAGCAAGCACTTGAGACAGTGGGAAGGAACAACTCTATTTAAGAGGGACATAAGACCAGCTGAGAAACATAATCTCTCTCCAGCATGTCCTGCGGGCCTCTTTAAGTTACACATGCCCGAAACACATCTGTAATCCAGGAGGCATCCTGTGGAGATCCCCATATCACCTCCTGAATGACTGAGCTCTTGACCCTAACTTTACGGTTGAACCCAGACACCTATCAGAATGAGGTCTGTCTGCTCCCTTGTATGTTGTTCTTATTCTTTCAGTCACTCCCAGCAGCCTGTGGCTTTAGGTGAAGGTCAGAAAGTCAACAAGTAAATCGACAGCTTTAGCTTCACACTCAGCTTTCTCTTCGCCGTAATGAACAGCGTGCCAAAGCATCTGTTAATCTCCTGCTCTGCTTTACTCCACTCTCACTTGTGAGCGACACCCTGATATACTTGAACTCCTCCACTTAATGCGTCAACTAATCCTCAACCTGAAGTAGGCAATTAACCCTTTTCTGCCACAGCCTCAAACTTGTAGTTGCCAATTCTCAGTCCGACTACACTCGGCACAGCAAATTGTCCCGGGCTGAGCTGGAGGTCACTACTGAATAAACCCAGCAGGGTCACTACATCTGCAAAAAGTAGAGATCCTGAGACTATCAGACCTCACTGCTGTCACTCTATGAATTCTTCCATAAAAATTCGGATGAGCTGCCTTGACTTTTAGGGTTTAAGCTAAACAAATTGAATAATGGGGTGTGAGTAGCTTTGTGAAGCGATATCCGGGACATCGCCAACTAGCCATGACGATGCTCCAAGTGTATCGCATATATATATATATGCAGGCAAGGATGACTCAAGAAGACACTAACGGCACTCCATCAGTTTCCAATCTCAGAAGTACACCGCAGTGTGATTTTTGTTTTACTCACCAAGCAACCCACCCTGCCCCTTGGCCTAAAGGAGATGGCTTCTTCTGAGCCTCTCTGTGCTGGTCGTGTGGTTGTGGAGACAATTGGCTTATTGCAGACTTTTATTGGACTGAGATTGGCTCTTTAATGGCTCTGGTCCTACGTGGCCTCTCGCACACATCCTTGGAGTTGAGGAGGACACCTTCAGTCATGCTTTCTGCTGATCGCAGCACACTAGTCCAGGCTTTACGGTCTTGTTCGGTTTCTGCCTCCTATTTCACACTCAGACACGACTCGAATGTAGAATCTGAAATCGTAACAGGTCACGATTTGGTGTGCAGTCTGTACAAATGGGTCTTTTTTTCTGTTATGTCTTATATGACAAATAGCGCCCAGTCCTTAACAGATTAAACCATCTGTGTTTAACATGCAGCCCAGTTCCAATTTACTCCAGTGGATTGCTTTGCAAAGTAAGAAAATTACAAGGAAGACTCTTTTTTTTTTTTTTTTTTTTTTTTTGCGATGCAGTGTTAACTGAACTGGGCTGCATGTTAAACTGAACTGAACAAATGATAGTGAGTCACTCTCATCTTGTAAAACAAAAACTTGCAAAATTCACTATTAATTCTTTCACTCTTTAATTTAAATATTTGCCCTTTACTCTGTTGGAGTCTACATGGGAAATAAAAAAGAAGAGGAAAGGAAAACAAATACCCCCACTTCTACTTCAAAGTATTTTGTGTATTTGACAAGCCATCTATGAATAACGTGAGACCGTTGGTGTAAAATTGATGGTGTTGTTATGTTTTTATATAAACAGCCTGTGGCCTTGAGAGGCAAAGTAAAATTTGAGATGGAGTTTTGGGAGCTTCAAGAGGACATGGCTGATCAGCTGCATATTCCATGCCTAGAAGAACCCCCCCCACCCCCCCTAAAAATTGATTTGACATTGCCTTCAAGTGAGCTCTCATGAACCACTCGACTTTGTCAAAGTTACAAGGGAAGGAGACAAAGAAAAGGAAGAGGTGTGAAAGCGATAGAAGAGAATTTCACTTGCGTACGCCGTGAGATGGAAGAATGGCTTTGAGAGTTTTAGGTGTGCTTGGTTTGTTCTGAGAGGCATGCACAAAAACCACTTCTGTGAAAACTTCAAACTCTCAGACAGAAGAACCCAAGCTAAACCAAACATGCATATTCTATCTTGTGCATTTAACATATTCTTTCTGTCCCCAGCACCGGACTTTTTAAAACTGATTTAGCTGAAGTGACTTGTGGCGTCTTCGCTGTGGAGGAAAGCAGCATCCAAACTGTTTAAGAATTGTGTTTTGCACTTGAAATCCTGTTTAAACACAGCACTATGTGGCTGACCTCTGTGTGTGGTTATGTGTTTGTATCCACCAACACCAGAGGTCCCAGAGTACTCCTTTGATGGCCACAGTCACGTGCGTTACCAGTTGGCGTCCCCGCTGCCTGCCCGGAGGACATGGATCCAAGTCCTGGTTCGCACCCGTAAACACAGCAGTGTCCTTTTCAGTCTGATCTCAAAGGAGCAAAGTGAATACTTACGTCTGGAGGTGAGTGCAGGAAGATGGAGTCATCACTTTTCTTCACTTTCAGAATTTTTCATAGCAGGTTGTGAGTTTGGCTTTGGCTTTGTTGTGTGGAAAGCAATTTTATTTTACGTTCTCGCTTCATGAACAGTTTCAGATTCTGCTCTACTCTTTATCCTGTAGCAACAGGCATTTTCTTTATCCACCCACTGCTCTTATAACATCCACTTTCTCTTGCTATAATGATACATATGCAACAGACATTTTTTGAAAAGGAGGTAAAAGCAACAAAAGTAACAGTTAACATAATTTGTTTCTGTAGCCGTGTGTGAATTCATCATAGTCTAAAGAGCTTGGAAAGAAAAGCGTCTAGACTTTCTTGAAGATGTTTCATCTCTCATCCAAGAAGTTTCTTCAGTTCTAAGAGCAAATGGTGGAGAGTCGTGACCATCTGTCTTCTCTGTCCAAAATGTGAACGTTGGCATCCTCAAAGGAGTGACCTTTGTCCTTAAGATGCAGATGAACATCCGAGTCTTGTCCCGTTGAGGTGGCTCTTGTATGTTGTGCCATGCGTTCATGAAGTGGCTGTTTGGTCTCTCCAATGTAGACACTGTACAGCATACATTAAGTTTGCTTTTTTGGATGAACTGGTTTTTGTCTGAGTGTATGGCTGGGTCTGAAGTACACTGGGAAGTACACTGAAGTCTAAGGAGCTTGGAAAGAAAAGCATCTGGACTTCTTTAAGTTGCTTGAAGACCTCTCATCCGAGAAGCTTCTTCAGTACACTGAAGTACAATCCCAGCACTACCCACACCTGTTTTCACATGTGATTAGGTAGAGGATCAATAGGGGGTCCATGACACTCTTGGGGATCCTCCCATAGGGCTTAAAATCTGGGACTCTCCACCAGTTGATCTTAGAACTGAAGAAGCTTCTCGGATGAGAGGGGAAACGTCTTCAAGTAACTTAAAGAAGTCCAGACGCTTTTCTCTCCAAGCTCCTTCGATTCCCAGTGAAGTTTGGTAGAAAATGAATCTATTTGCATTTTATACAAAGCTATCACCTGAATTTGTACACTGTAGGGACAACTCACGTAGGATCAGACTGATTAAATATTTAAACGTATAGACATTTATGCTCATTTATCATGGTCACTTATGTGAATTCAAGATCTAATGAGCCAGACGAGTCAACAAAAAGTGAATGAATAAATTAAAGGAGGCACACAGCTTTCAGTGAGACGCTTTGGTCAACCACACAGATGTGACAGGAGTAAACACAGTAAATAACTTTTTGTTTTTTACCTTTGACTTCTCGGGGCCCCACCTAAGGCAGCGAGGGGGAAATCATCACAGGTGTACGTCTCCTGTTTCCAAACATTTCCTTTCAGGGCAGAAAAAAGACATTCGAAACAACCAGAAACAGATGTGTGTCTTTACTTTGCTGTTTTTGGTTTTTTTCCAGCTGTTAATATCCAGATGTTTACTTGTTGTTGTTGCATGTCTTCTTTTTAATTAATGTTTTCCATCCATCAGTTTATAAAATGAAAACAGTCACATCATTACACTACACTAATCTTAATCATCGATGAAACATATTAACCCTTGGCCGGGCCTGGAGTGGCTTACCAGTATATACAGAGGACTTCTGACACTTGTTTAGAATAATTGGTTTGTGTGCAAACACTGCAAATTATTATTATTGAATAATGTGAATAATAATTATTATTTGTCAGGAAAATGGGAAAGAAGTGCAGCAGCTGATTAAAACACTTGGAAATAGGGATGGGTACCGGTATCCGGTGCCGTCATGGCACCGGTTCTGACATAAACGGTAGTAACCAGACCGAAAAGCAGCGCACATTTCGGTGCTTTATTTTCCTGAGCTGTGTTACACTTTAGATATTTACATTAATAAGCAGTTAAACTGGTAGACTTAATAAAGTATCCAGGAGTTGTCGTCAGTAGGGATGGGTACCGGTATCCGGTGCCGTCATGGCACCGGATCTGACATAAACGGTAGTAACCAGACCGAAAAGCAGCGCACATTTCGGTGCTTTATTTTCCTGAGCTGTGATACACTTT